GCCAGAGGAGAAAAAAATCTAGGAAGAGCTTCTGAAAAATTGCATTCAAACATTGCAATCTGGTATGGCTTAAGATTCTCTTTGTTTCTTAGGCTTCTGTTATCTCAGTATTTTTTTCTTTTCCATTGAACCTGGCAGTGCATTAGGTGCTTCAGTGGGCCTTATGAAAACAATGCAGGCAACAGAGGAGCAAAGAGGACATGGGTTAAAACAATTATAATTTGTGGCTATCTAAAGGTGAGTTTACCACAGCACTGTAGGTTAATTATACATAAAGAGGAGTTTGTATATTTTGTGCAGCCACTTCAGTGGATGCTTCAGGGAATAGATGAATGAGAAGAAGCCTTGCAAAGTGGGCCAGCAGAAAAGCCTGTACTCAGTAAAAGATGTAGAAAAACTCAGAATGATGCATTTTATAGAAGCAGATGAGTAAGACGAGAGATAGATATCACGGACAGTGTACAGAATAATGGAATGTAAGGGGAGTTGCAGTGAGGCAAGTCTGGTGAGTGGTACTATCTTAAAGATATTAAGACATAGGAAAGGAAAATTCGGTCCTCATTAACCTTAGTCCTCATTAATCTTATCAGGATCCCTAACACTGTCAGGATCCCTAACACTGTCAAAGTATTAGTTGATTTAATTAAGTTAATCCTTGATCTACCCACTAAATGACTCAACCTGGAGGGAACCACAGCCCAAGCAAATTTCTGCTGATCACTCTGAAGCATCTAATTGGCAAACCTTACCACTAGGCACAGTTTAGTAAAAAACCCCAACTGGAACCAGAACTAAAACAATCAGCCCAAAATATCTGTAGGCCTCTGGCATCCCTCTGTGAAAAAAAAGACTAGCCTAAAGGAGTGATTGATGGTAATGATCCTAGATTAAGAAGATCAAGAATTGTGAGCTTTCAAGGAGGTGAAAGGCCAAATGGTGAGATTAGGAGTTGGCAGTTTAATTGAGAGAGGAAGGAGGAAATAGGTGGTAAAATGGAAAACATTGGAATTGGGTTTAATTCCGTATATGAAGGAAGTATGACCTACAAGGGCCAGCCTCTGATAATTTTGGATACCTCTTCATAGCAGGGCTTGCATGTTTATTTCCATCACAAATATTCAGGAACTGGAAGGCAATCAAGCCCTTTTGCAAGGACTTAAATTTAGAATAAGGAGAATGGCCTCATCTGAAATGTATTGATTGTGAAATACATGGGCCCTTGAGTTTGTTCTGCATTTTCCACCAAAGGTGTATGTGTTCCTGAGGATACTTTTTAGATAGTATGTAGAAGCAGAACATTATGGTCCACTTTTTAACCTCAGTTTAAGATTTCTCTGTATCTCAAGCTTTTTTGAAAGAAGAAAGGTGTTTAGCTAAATTTTCCTAGGCAATGTCAACTTGGATCAATGTGAAGTAGCTCTGCCTACTCCCTTTACAGATCAAGATAACAAGCGTTTCTCTTCGGACATCACATACAGCTCTTAAAAAAAAAAGAAAAAAAGCCCCTTTTTTTTAAAAAAAGAAAAAAAAAGTTGTGGTTCTGCCTTCCTGGCTCCTTGCAGCATTCACCTCTTTTATGCATTTCAGTTATTTTATGGCTATTTTTCTATTTTGTGTTTCTTCCCTTCGCTATCTGCCAGAATCCTGGTCTTCTTTCTTCCCACCTTTCTACTCTGTGCCAAAGGTATTTCTGCTGTTGCACATCCCTTCTTCAAGATAAGATTGACTAAAGCTGCTTTGATCTTGACTTGGCAGAGCCTTAGGCCCTTCTGCCTCGGGGTACCTGGCTTGTTCTAGCAGAGGGATGGGGAGGAGAAAGGCACCTGAGGAGAAGGGAGAAGTTCTATCATTATTATTCTGTAGTCTCACTACAGATTTTGTCCATGGAGGAGTTATAGGTCAGAGCACAGACAGACAAATAACTTTGAGGGGAAAAAAATGCATTGGTGATCTACTTTCTCATCCATTTTCAAAATTCAGTGCTGCCCAGAGACAGGAGTATGTAAGAACAGGAAGCACCTTATTCAGTGGATATCCTTTGTACAAATGTTTAGAAGCAGCTGAACTTCCTGACTTCAAGTTGTTATTTGATTATCCCTACTGAGCTAATATGAATACAAGAAACTGAGTACAAATATTTTTTAAAGTGTTTTTTTTTTTATAAGCCACCAAGGGGTTATAACAACTTTAACTGAAGGCATTTTTCCAAATCTGAAGTGGATGTGTAATCTGTGTTGAGTACATGATACAAGTTTACCTCTAGTCAAGCTGCAGAGAGTCAGAGGGGCTTTATTTACAAAAAGAGAGAGATTGTCTAATGTGCAGCAGCCTTTTGCTTGCAGATGTACAGGGCTCTTGTTTATTCCCCAGCATGTCAGCAAAATCAATATCTATAATGATTCCCATTATCAAAGCAACAATTGCAGAGATGGCAGTAAAACATCACCTTTTCCTTCCTGCTAGAAGAGAATCATTTCACTGATTTCCTGTATGTCTTTATGCACCTCCAGAATTTATTTGTGACTGGAACATATGGATAAAAGTTATACCCTGTCCTTTCACTAAAAAAGTTCCTAGGAAAGCAGGGTACTAGTGTAAAGGCTGTACAAATGCACTGTCCAAAGGATTGTCAGCCAAGGAACGGGGGTTTCATACAAAAGAAAAACAAGACCCCCTAAATGGACATGACCCAGCCATGGGCACTCACAGTGCAGAAAGCCAAACATGTCCTGGGCTGCACCAGGAGCAGTGTGGGCAGCAGGGGAGGGAGGGGATTCTGCCCCTCTGCTCTGCTCTGCTGAGAGCCCACCTGCAGGGCTGCATCAGCTCTGTGGTCCCAGCACAGGAAGGACATGGACCTGTTGGAGCAAGTGCAGAGCTAGAGGGATGGAACACCTCTCTTGTGAGGAAAGGCTAAGAGAATTAGGATTTTCCAGCCTGGAAAAGAGAGGGCTAAATTCTTTACTGTGAGGATGGTGGGATACTAGCATTGGTTGCCCAGAGAAGTAATGGATGCCCCATCCCTTGAAGTGTTGAAGGCCAGGTTGAATGGGGCTTTGAACAACCTGGTCTAAGGGAAGAGAAGTCCCTAACCACAGCAGGGGAGTTGGAATGATAATATTTTTTAGGTCCCTTCCAACCCAAACCACTCTATGATTCTATGATGCTATGATTCTGAAGTTTGTTTTCCTTTGTTCCTGTCATAAGCCTCCAAGTTGCAGCTAATGCTCTACATCAAAGCATATCATGGTAGTCTATACCTGGAAGGATAGTGATGCATCAGGCCTCTGCTGGGAGTTTTTCATACAAAAAACATAGCAGCATGGCTATACAAACCTGTTCTTTGGGGTTGGAGATTGTTCTGCACTGGTGTTATCCTGGCAAGGTGTACATTCCTTCCAACTTTGGCCTGACCTGCAGTTTTCCACCTCAGACTCCGTTGATTGAAGTAGCTCGATACTGCCCAGCTCTCCAGGTAATGTGGTTCATTGGTATCTCTCAACACCTCCAGCAGTCCAGCCCACACAAACACACACACACACACACCTACACGCACACACATCTATTGTTAACAAGTGCTAGGTAGCAAAATAGAAATACATGGTCCCTTCTGAGCCTCTGAGGTGCTTCTGCTTATCAGCTAGTCTTTCTGACGGTCAGAGTGTTTTCCAGGCATCTCTGTGAATAAACACACTTTCCTGCAGGTATCCTGCAAAATATCCATTTCTCTCACTTTTCTGAGAGTCTGGAATTACAGCCTTCACTTGCTGTTAAACAACGTTCAGGACAAAATATTTCCTGGCAATTCAACTATTATAAACTATATATAAAGGGCCAAGAAGAACTGGAGACAACTTTGTGTAATCCCTGTCCAATGCCAGTAGGCAAGATAGCCAGTAATGAGCTGGGCTGATAGGCAGCTAGTAGAGATCAATCAACAAGCAAGGTAGAGTTGTCTAATTTTCTGTGAAACAAGGTCAAAATATTTGGTTATTGTAATTTAGGAAATATAGCTCTCTAAAAAATGGGGAAAATATTTTCAGGTGTGTGCATTTAAAGTATTATACAATAGACTACAATTAGTAATATATACATTATAATAAGTAAAATTAAAATATACACTTCTGTGCTGACTAGTCTGAGATAGTTGGCTTAGATGGTATTAAACAACAGCTGTAGAAACTGACCAACTTAATGATGCATTACAATAATGTTTTCAGGACATGCTTAAAGGATTTACAGAGAGCACATGCCTGTAAATTTCTGGACTGTAATTAAGAAGCTGAACTATGGAATAAAAATTGTGCACCTGTCCTATTTTATATTTGGATGTATTACGCAAAGTAAAAGATTGCTAAACAGCAGTTTCAAAAAATTACCATGATCTGAATTAATAAATACCTCTCAGAAGCTACAGCATAATTTTTTCAGTTTGTTGTACATCTCCTGCTGCTAAAATAACCTGCTGTGTCGAGTGGGTGAAGAACCGGACAAGCCCAACCAGCTGCAGGGCTACCCAGGGCCATATTGCTGCTGCCATTCCCACAGCTCCAGCCGTGCCAACCATGTAATATCAACAGAAAGAGAAAACAAAGTCCTCTCCCTTAACAAAGAGCACTGTTAGCTCTGGCAATACTATAAATCGTGTTTTGAATGGCCACCTAAATAAGAGAAATAAAGGAGTGAGGACAGAACAGTTGTATACACATAATAGTCCTCAAGTGACAAGTTAGGAAGCATTGAAAAAGTTTGTGAGGACTTGATTCCAATAAAAAGTCATGTAAGTCAAGATTTATTTGTCCCACTTCCACACCAAAAAAAAAAAAAAGCAACAACAAAAAAATCCCTAGAAATTCCCAGCACCACTAGTCTTTCTTCTACCTACAACTGATAAAGACGTAAAATATATCTTCATAAATAGGATTAACTGAAGAAGTTTGAGTCATATAGATGAATAGTATTAGTCAATCAATCATCTTCAAAAACTAAGAAATAGTTGATTATTATTTACCTTGAAATTAATTATTTTTCTTTTTTAAAAAATTTGTGCCTCTTTAAGTGCTATAACTTAGTTTTATGCATACCCATACACTTCAATTCATCAGTTCTGTACATCTATCCTAAAACCTTCTAGTTGGAAATCATTGATTAAATCCATCCCTGACATTTACTGCATATGGCAGAGTTGTGGTAAGATTTAAGTGGACACAATCTAATTTTTATTTGTTTCTGAGGGAGCAGTTAGAGTGAACATTTCTTCCAAGGATCTCTGAGCATCAAAACGAGCAAAACTAAAAGAACCATAAGCATGCATTGAAAATGTGACTCCTCCTTGACTAGAGAGCTAAAAGGATACTGTAGTCAAATACAAACTGAAGACAGCCCAATCAGGGAAAAAAATTGTGATTTTCTACCTAACCTTTCCTCTTAAACTGTTTGGGACTAATTTCTTACAGGCAGTTCTATTAAACAAATCTTGGTAAGTATCTTCCCCCTGAAACGGTGATTATAACAGCAAAACAAATTGTCAGTCATGGGGCTATGACAAATAACAAAAACTTCTATCAAGTCCCTAAACAGACTGGAGTCATTAACATTACAGGCACAACCCTTGGAAAGGGAGCAACTAGGAACAAAGCAGAATTATTACCAAAAGAACAATAAAGTGGTTTAGATACATTAAGATCAATTAGGCATTAGTTTTAATATAGCCTAAAGTTAAAAGCTGTTAAACAATCCCATTTGCATCATTTAAAGTTCACAGCCCAAGGAAAATACCATGTATAAAGAAACCAGAGAGCCTTCTGTGAACTGTGTGTCAATTATCTAATTACCTTTGATAACATCAGGTGCAAACCTCCAAGGAAAAAGCTTTAAAGAGCTCTTGCAGGTACGTGTGTATTAGGAGAGTAATAAGACTTCTTGCAGGGAGAAGAGAAAGAACTGCATCTTGCATTGGAATGAATGTCCCGTTCCTGGTTGCAAGCATGTGAGAGATGAGAGTTACACTACAGTTACTGGAGCAAGATTATCAACTCCAAATGCAGCTTCTCAGCTTGGGAAGAGGGACAGGGAGATTGGGTGAGTTTCTGCTTTGACTCTTACTTCCAGGCTGAGATGCTGCCATGTATTCCTGCTAGTCAAGGAGAGAATCCAAGCCTGGCTCCTACCTCCTGGCCTTCCTCCTTCCTCTGCAGTGTCTGTGGATGGGGAAGAGTGAGAGCACTTTGTGGTCCTGCTCCTTGGGCACCTTCTTGCAGAGATAGCAGAGCTCTCTGACAGAGGAGGTCAGTGATAAGATCTCAGCCTGCAAACACAGCTCCACCTTAGGTGTTGCATGGGGCAGCTGCCCTTGAATTCCCACCATGAAATGCCTGTGCACCACCAGCTTGGGCAATAGCTGTGAACATCTGTGAACATTATCTGCTCACTGGTGGTGCTTACATCCCTGCTTCTCTGACTGGTAATTCCCTGCACTGGTTGGAAGAATGTTGCCTGTCTGCACAATGGGAATTGCTTTGAGGTCTGGACAATGTGCTGCCACAGCCAGGTGGGAAGGAGATATGTCTGCATTCCTGGTCAGCACCAGTATCTGCCTTCTGATTTTTGAAGGGAAATTGTAGTTACTTCTTCAGCAGGAAGCTTTGGTGAGTAGATGCAGAAGAGAGTGTCTGTTTGCATTTGGATGATTGCTCTAATTAACTCCTTTTTATTTTTTGCTTTTAAGAAGAAAAAACACAGGAGTTAGTAGTGTTTATTTCCTTCTGCCTAAGTGATCCTTGAGTGACATTCACCACTGTTTTATTTCATGCCTTCCAATTTAGAATTGATAAGCTTCTACTTTAAGGAAATGCCAGGGCAAACTTTTATTTTGGCAGGGGGAAGTAATCTGATAAGAAGGATAGTGTGTCCTAAGTGGGAAGGCTTCAGAAAGGGCAGCTGTGGGGGACTAACCCTGGTAGTAGCACCTGCAAACTAATTCCTCACAGCTCTTTGCCACAGAGGATGGCTCTATAGCTACTGCCTCAACTAGAGGAGATGATGTGCACTTTGTCTGGATTACTTGGTTATTGTCATCTCCTCAGTGCTTCCCAGAACTCCAGTGGAGAGCAGAAAACCAGTCATCATTGGACATCCCCCTGAAGTGCCTCCTTAGGCCACCCCACATACTTCAGGTGACCCAGGAAGGGTCTATGCTGGTACCATCAGCACAGGAGACTGCAATCAGAGTCAGGAACTGACAGTTCCTCATCAATCCCACTTAGTAATAGACCATGTCAAAGATTTATGTAAATCTTTACAACCCTTTACAAGTATATGCTCAGGGTTGCGGTTTTTTCAGCTGACTCACTTGGGGTCTTGTTTGTACCTCCTCCTTAGTGACCAGCTGAGCCTTCTCTGTGTTCGTGACAAGAAACCTGCATTTGTGGCTCTTTAAGATGGTATCACCCCGACTCTTCAAGGACTGGGACACACAACTGACATGAGACCACACCAACCAAAAATCAGGTCAGTGATTAAACTTCTTGATATTGGCAAGTCAAGTGTCAGTATCAGAAGGGAGTTTATTAAGTCATTTGGGGTTGTAGACATGAGAGCAAGAACTGTCTATTTAATTCTTTCTAAGATTGCAGCTTGTGGGAGGGGATGGAGGTGAGACACAGCTTTTCTGTTAAGAAATGCCTATGTTGGTTTAGGAGCTGCCACATCTTAATTTCCAGTAAATGAAAAGCAAGAACAATAAACTTCATGTCCTGTGTACTAGCTACTTTTGGTATAGGGAGTATTGCTGAACTTCTGTTTCATGAGAAAAAAAAATCTTTTTCTTGCATTAGATCTTCACCTGACCCATTACTGAGATAACCTTCAGCTAGCTTACACCTAAAGGCTGGAGCTGTGGTGATTCTCAGAACAGTCTTGTCAATGCATATGTGATGAAATTAAGGAAAATCTAGTCATGAATAAGGTCTGTGTTTCCAGTTCCCCTGAGAGCTTCCATCAAACAAAACAATCCCCTTCTAAAGCACATGTTTGAAGAAGGGGAACTAAGTATTTTTCTATTATTTGCCTACTGAAATATTCTTTACTTGGTATCTGAGCACAGTGGTGATATATGCAAATATTGCAGCTCATCTTTTAAAAAAGTGTTATTATATCAGTAATAAAGAAAACAGTTTGCATTTCAGATGAAGAGACAACAGTGTATCACAAAATATTTACTCTGCCCAGAAGAGCAGCAATTTACAGACTATTTAACAGCAGTTTATGTATGCATTTAAAGATTACATTTTTTTTTAACTAAGGTTTTTTTATTTGTGTGCCAAGCAGTTTTCTGTAAGTAAAAGGATTAGACCTTGTCTGGCATCTTTGAATTTATATTCTGTGAAAAGCAGTAGTGATTTAGATCTGAGTTTTCATAGCATGTGACATGTAAGGTGTGCTTAGCTTCCTGTGGATTTTTTTTTTAGATTTTTTTTTTTTTTAAATAGATAGATAGTCTTTATTTGCTTTTCTGGGGAGAACCAACATAAGCTCATAAGTATTCTACTTTTAAGCAATGTACAAAACCTAACCTCTTTGTTAGTTTAGCAATCTTACACCATTTGCTAACATTCACCAAAGAAGAAAGTTTTCACTGAGAATGGATCTTGGTCCCTCTCTTTTCTCTGGTTTTCTTGAAAAAAACCCAACAAACCCAACACCAGGAAACCCAAACATATGATCTCATCAGTTGACTGAAGAGGAAAAAAAGAATCAAAAAATACCTGCACAGAGCACCTATTTTTCCAAATATTATGGAGAAGTGAGGGGAGATATCAGCAGGGAGCAAAGAAGGGCTAGGAAGAGCCCAGTCAGTGCATACCCCTGGGGCAGACTCTTGGTCCTTCTGTATCTTGTGAGCTGAGTGAACTAGCACAAGGGAATTTTGTACTGCTGTCATTAGAGTGCATCTGGTCACAAAGTGGATTGCAGGCCTCTCTCTAAGCTTTATTGATTGTAATGGTGACAGATGGGTGCAAGGGTCAAATACGAGCTTACTTGCGTGGAGATGTTCCATCTGCAAAGCCAAACCCCAGTGAAAATTGTGTGGCTCTGCAGTGCTGGATGGTTTGTGACTGACTGTGAACAGCAGCTGCTCATGTGGAGGGGGCAAGAAGTCTGCTAGTTCTTAATGAAATATGGTTTACAAGGAGAATGCCTATTGGCATTTGGCTTCTCCCCAAAAAGATGGAGCTGCTATGCTCCCCTTATAGTTTGCACCACCGCTCACTGTTTTGAAGCACATGTTCTCAGGCCACAGTGAAGTTAAGTATAGAAGCGGTCTCAAAGTAGACCTTTTGCATGACAAAATTCACAAAGGAGTAATTTGCTCCATAAATGCCTTAGCTACCTATCTGTAGCAAAATACAGGCCATGTCAGATAACCCAGGCAGCATCTATATATCCTCACCTAATTGGTCTATTACTTGTGGCAGTGATGCCTCAGAAGAAATCCACCAGCCCTTTTGACTAGAGCTGGGGCCCTGGCTCCCACTGCCATGGCAACAGAAGTGCTGCCTGCTGAAAAAGCCAGCTGAGTCCAGAAAAGGTCACTGGAGTCCTTTAGAAACCCTGGGAAACCCTTTATCCTCAAAGGGAAAGGCACAAGTCTGAAGCTGAAAAGACAAAATAGTTTGCCAAGGGCGAGCACACAAAATTTCCAGTTTATCTCATAAAACATATTTTTAATGTGTTTTTATTTCCTTTAGGGCTATTTAAGCATCCTGCATGGTTTTAGGGGGGATTGGAGGGTGACAGAGCTTGGGGAGCAAGGATGGGAAGATTGTGGTTTTCTTCAGTGGTTTGTCACAGCTAGTATGTACTTACAAGGCTGTAAGGACTGAGGCCTTATGGAAAAAGCCCCAGAGTTGCAAGAGCCGGCACAAAAAGGAGAAAATATCTTGCCTCTGGCTTCTTTTCTGCACTGTCCCAGTCCAGCACTTGGCAGAGCAGATATAAAACACAGCACGCTGCTGTTGGGAGTGCTTGTTGCAGCACCAGATCTGGGGTTCTCAGACACAACTTGGTCCCACCCCTTGTGACATCCTGGTGTTGTAGGAACCGTTGGATCAATTTAGCAGATCCAGGCAAGATCACCTTCTGAGTGGAAAGCTTTTTAAAGCGTTACAATTCTTGATGCACCCTTTCATGCTTAAGGCTGTATGTGATTGCAGGAGTTCACTCTCCCATGCTTAAAGCATTTCTACAATGCTTCCTTAAACCTGTCAATACTATATCTGAGAACAAATATGTTGGGAAGAAAAACATTTTTTTCTCTAGGAAAAGGTGTATTAAAGCTGCAGGGGTTAATACAGGGTAGAAGGTGAATGCACAGCAGCAAAGGCAGCTCAGCTCACTGACCTGAGACATTGTGCTGGCCAAGGCACAAAAAAGCTCAACTCCAATCGCCTTTCCTTTGCCTCCCCTAAAGCAGCCATGCCAAGTCACATCACTGGGCAGCAAAATGAAGTAAAAAAAAAAAAAATATGCCACCACCACACCCCTCCCCAAAGCCTCTGTATTTAAAGGGGAGAAGTTAAAAGGTGATAAATGGGAATATGTATTGAGGATGCAGACACATCCTCAGTACTGCAACCTTCTCTACTCCCAGTGCATGCTAAGCAAGGAGGTGATTCTGAATGCAGGAGGCTTTTTTCTTCAAAATGAAAACACTTTAATATACCTACAAATGCTTGGTGTGACAGTAGTATTACTAAGATGTAAAGGCTTTAATAAATAAGTATAAAAGCATAGCTGGTGTAAAGAATAGATAAAAATGAAGCCTTCTAAACACTTTAATGTGTGGAAATACTTGACAGTTTTTAACTCTTTCAATTCTTTACCTTTCTACCTGTCTTTCAGCTTTTCATGTCTATGCATGTTATTCTTGTAACCTTAACATTTTCCAGGGTCTGTGAAAATCCGTAGCTAACAGTTCTGGTTATGTTTTTCTTCAGCAAACAATTAATTCCAGTGAATGGGTATTGCTATTTTAATTATGGAAAAGTCAATATACTTATGCAGCTTTGGGCAGCATGACAGACACAGCATAAGCCTTAGTACCACAGTTATCAAATTACTTAGGCATATGTATAACTTTATGATAACAGGGTCATCGTAAAATGACTATCGCATAATTCCTGAGGAAAGTGGAAGGCAAATGAGGCCATGTGTGAAAACCTATACGTGTACTAGATAGCTGCTTTTTTTTTTTTCTCCTTCCCTCCCTTCCAGGAGACTTGTATAGCATTCTTATTCTCCAGTTCTTTGTAATTATGTTTCCTATAGCTCATGATTAATGGTATCAGCTAACCAAAAAGCTGCCGATGGGGCAAAACCGTGGCACTCAAAACCTGGTGATATCTTGAGGAAGCAGTAGCACAATATGCATTTTTGATGTGCAAGAGGCTTCCAAGCTTTGACTAGCTCAGAAGAAAACAGCAGGATGAGATGTGGTTTCATTGTCCCAGGGGAGGTGAAGGAAGAAAAAAAAGCAGTAATACGTGGCTGCATCCTGGATTGCATCAGGAAGTTGGATTTCAGGTTGACAAATGTCCCCCAGCACGCAGGGAGGGCACACACAGCAGCAGGTGTGGTGGAGGAGTGCCGGGCTGGCCTCAGGCAGTGCAAATACTCGAGCACCAGCCGGTGCAATCAGTGAAGCCACCTCACCCTGTTTGGCACTCTGATATTCCTGTGCTACAGCAGCACTGCGAAGGCAAACAGAGGTATCTGAGGTTAGACCCAGCAAACCCGGCCCAAATCAGCAGCTCAGGCGTACTGCAGGCAATAGTTCCATGTGAGGAAGGCTTACTTGTCATACAACCTGATGGGAAATAACAGTAGAGAGCATAATGGACTATGAAATGTCAGGAACAATTGTCTGCAAAACCCAAACATTTTAGATTAACTTTTTGGGCATTGCTAACTTGAGAAGTGTGGCCCGTTGAGTCTACCGTTTTTGATTGGACTGAGACTTTCCATAAGGTATCTACAAGTTTCTGCCACTTATCAGTGGAAATGTGGTCAGGCAAAGAAAGAAAATGACTTGCCTGTTAAAGAAATTTGTAGTGCAAATATTTTATGCACACAAATGCTAAGTGCAGAGTGGAGGCAAATTAGAAAAAAACTACAGCATATATCAGCTGCTGCTAAGGATGACACACCCTTGGGTTATAAAGTTAAGGGTCGATGTTCACAAGCTCCTCAAGCGCAATAAGTAATTTGAAAAAGAAAAAGATAACTCTGCCATAAAGGATCCATGCTCCAAGCACGGTGTTTACAAGCCAGCAGCACAAAAAAACTGATTTTTTGGAACTCTTTAAACACTAAAGAGTAAATCTTTATAGCAGTGCAAGGGAGTCATGCCCACAAATCTCATTATTCTGAAAGCTGCTTAGAAACTTTAGCCCTTAGAGTCAACATACCACAATGCTTTCAGAAGTACAATTTAAAAGAGTTACAAATGCTTCTAACAATTAGCTAATTAAAAAAAAAAAAAAAGAAGAAAAATTAGGATTTAAAAGGATTTATAAGGAAATAATTGGGGGAGGGGATGTTATAAGTGAAGGAGGTAATTGAAAGGGATTGAGAGGAGTACAGTAGGAAGTGGATGTGGTTAAGGCATTCACAAGATTAGTTAAAGAAAAGCATGGTAAAACTGGAAGTAAGAAGCCAAATCCTGGGACCAATGAATACAGTTTCTTCTATGTATTTTGAGCTGCATGATTTATACATACTCAGCATATAGCCTGTGGACCTTAAGAATAATTGGGCAAAAACAGTGATGAAAGCTTATTAAAATACTACCCAAAAAAAGCATTATGCAGAATTTGATGCACAAAAGTTTCTTATACTCTCAGAGGTTAAATACCTAGTCAATGATCCTGAACAGCTGCAGGTATTCCAGCCTCAGGAGTCTTACAGAATTAAGAAACTTGACAGTAATAAAAGCTGTGACTTGCCATGCAAGCTGGTTTATTGAAAACAAAAATTGTCACAGGATTCATTACTGCTTTAGAGATGGATTGTGAGCTTGAAACTCATTTTCAAATGTCTTCACAACAAAGCAGGATGATATGAATGCTAAAACTGGGGTGGATGAGGGCAATTTGAGGTGACGAGTAAAGCTCTGGCATGCAAATTATACGGATTTTAATTAGTGCAGATACACCTTTTGAAATTCCTGCAGGATTTTTGTATCTATAGAAAACATACTGAAATCCTGGATAAGTAGGTTGTTGTGTGCATGTGTGTGCTTGCCTGAGATCTCAACTTCTTCCGGGATTAAGAGACTGCAAATACATGCCCCATCCTGTAGGTGCTCTAATAACAGCATGGACTGTCGAGTGCAAGGCAATTGAGCAAACACAGGAAAAGGATACACAACAGACAGCGTACCAAGCAAAAAGACAACAGAGGAAGAGAATGAAAGAGCTGAACCAGGTCAGCATAACAGTACCCAAACTTTGTACTCCTTGCTAAGCCTACAGAGCTCCTAGGATCTTTTTGCATTTTGCATACATGAAATTTCAAAACAAGAAGGCAAGGTAATCTCTGTCGTGATGTTAAGCAGAACCATTTCTAATATGACTGTTTAATTTCTCTTGCTTCAGAGAGCCAGTGCAGTGTTCAGAGCACTGTCAGCATTCAGGAAGAATAGATGAGCACTGAGAGTTTCATGCTCTTTAAAATAAACATTGTCAGCAGGATACATAAAATAATGTATTGAATTTGAAACACAACATCATAAGAGAATGAAGAAAAGCAGATGCTTCTGCTAAGGATTTATGGACAGATCAATTTACATAATGATGTTCTTTAACTTTATTTTAGAAGTTGGACAAGACAGCACTTCAGATCTGAAGGAACCAACAATGGACACCAGGCCTTTATTATGTCAAAAGAAAAGAGAAGCTCTTTTTTTTAGCTTGGTTCACAGCTCATCAGGATGCTCATTCCCAGAACCCCTGAGCTTAGACTTGGTGGAAAGTAGGGTATGTTAAGACTACTATGTGAAGATGTAGCAGTGAAGGTTAGAACAGAAATCAAGTTAGCTTGATTTCTGCCACTTCTCTAGAGCTCAGGTTTTGGTGCACAATACAAGGATTGCTGTAATGAAGGCATGTGCTGTTACACAGAGCTGGGGAACATCAAAGTCATAAACTTAGGCAGGGTGCAGGTATTTGTGAAGGACTTTGACTGTCAGAAGCTCTTGAACCATGACATCCATTTGCTGAGTGACTCTGCCTGTTGTTTGTGTTTTATACCAGGTCTCAGGTTTCATCAGTGACAGCCTGGTATCACCCAAAGTTCTGGAGACAAGTTTGGTCACTGTGAGAAGATCTTCCTACACCTGCAAGTAGCAGGGAGAAGGCTGTGACACCAGCTTTAGAAAAGGTCTGGCTTTATCTTAGTCTGTGTAACAAGTGTAAATGCTGATGCTATTGCTGGTGCTTTCCATGCACCATGGTGCACGGTGAAACATGTGTCTTCCTACTGGTGATTATTGTGCATAATTGAATGGACAGAATCATCTAACTGTACCCAGATAATTGACCAGGAAACTGGAACCCTGGTATCAGGAGCCTAATGAGGAATTCATAATATATAAAACAATATTTTTTATTTTTTTTTTGAGGGAGTAGAAAGAATGACAGACTAACAAAAGGGCAGTAAAGGGAAAGGAAGGAAAGGGTGAAAACTTTGAATGGTCAGAGAGGACGCTATTATGATGTGAACCAATTTCTAGCATTCAAGGCATACAGTGAACTATTTTAATTTTTCAACAACAATGCAAGTCATGTAGGCACTCATAAAAACTTAAAAGCTCTTTTTAAAATAATAGCATGCATTTTACATGTACTATATGTACTTACTCTCTCAGAGTGCAAGTTATTTATCATTCTTGTCTAAGCTAATAGTCCATCTCTGTCTGGATTGCGAAGTTTAATTAACTTCTGTAGGTGTTACAAGGAAAATTATGCCTAACTGAGTCTAAAATCCACATTCTTGAATGAAGGGCATTTTTAAATGAAGATGACTGATACACTTTTTGAATAACAACTTCATGTTTTTCTGCTTCATACAGAGCAATAACATTCCAACTTTACAGCCTGTAGAATCCAGACAAATAACACACCTTTCTCATCAAGATGCTCTCATGAGGACTATAGCTAACTCTAATAACTGTAACTTTTGCTCTGCTACTTAAGGCTGATGAGTTTGAGATACTGGTCACAGAAGAGATGGCAAAAATTTAGTAGCCTAGTGGGCATTGCACGTGATGGGGAATTACAAGAGATTAGAGAGTATTTTTGGGTCTTCATGTTGCTATCACCACTAATGCACAATTTGTACAGAGTTTGAACTGAGTGATGAAGCACAAGAAGGGGTAAATCTCCAAAGCAAAAAGACAAAGATGCTATAATCTCTTAGTAATGGTACTGTCCCACACCATCAAGCTTATTTTGGTATCTTACTTAATGCATGGCATCAGGAAGCTTATCACAGTTAAAAATACCAGGAAAAGCATAGTTCATCCTTCTGCTCTGAATTGAGCTGCATGACCAAAATTCAGGCAGAGCCACATATGCTTAAAGGACTCTTAGATACAGCCAGAAATGTGGGCCATGACAAAAAAGATGAGCCCTTCTCCTCTGGTGAAGTCCAATACCATAGTAGGGGACCTTGTTGGAAGAGAAATATGAATTGTGAGGGCTTACACTAAGCTGGAGTGTTTTTAATAGCATATCACCAGTCAGTGTGCATTTTTCACTTATCAAAATGACATTGTTTTTTTATCTATCTGTGTGTTCATGCTAAGACATTAAATGCAAGACAGCAGGATTTGGCACTTTCTCTGCATTGGCAGTGGTTGCAATACACCTATTGTCCTTTTGCTGCAGGTGCAGTCACCTTACATCTCAGAAAATCTGCCTTCCTATTCTAATATGAAATAAAACATGACTTCTCAAATACATGTGCTAAGTATGTCAGTGACCCACAACTGCACATCTGGAGGGCAGGGAGATCTTAACTCAGGCAAAACTTGTGCCTGATACTGAATTGACTATTTCTCTCGTGACGTTAAAAAAAAAAAAAAGTTTTACTATATGGATTTTTAGTGTGTTAGTCATGAGCATTTATGAATAGCATTTCCTGCTTTAGTAATCAACTTACATAGGAAAAGAGAATGAGTATGTGACAAATTACTGCATCTTATTTACATTTTTAGCATTAAATAATTCTGAAGGTATCAGTAGAAGTATTTAAAGGAAGGTTTTCACAACAATCCTGTACAAAATGCAGTGAAAATCCTTTTGATGTTTAACTAAAGGAGATTGCAAGGACAAAATTTGAGAAGTGGAGGGTGGAGTTAAAAAACATACCTCACCCACTGCAAAAATGCCTGGGCCATTCTTTGCCTGTGTTTTAGAGTGCATATTAATAGGTCTCCAATAACAGGTATCTCTTGCTCTGCAAGTAGTAAATTGTCTTGTCATGTCTTTATCATCAGGAATAAGAAAAAATTCACTGGCTTTTTGCACAGATGAATGCATGTTTACAGAGCACTGATTCCAAAAGTCACGATATTTCACCCTCGGTATACAAATGTGGTGCAGATTCAGACAGGCAACACCATGCATAATTGCATATAAATTTTGCATTGCTAATTAATGGTCTGGTTTTAGTGCTGTGATTCTGTGCTTCACTATTGTGATACACAGGACACGGATGCAGTGTCAGTAAGTGCTCCAGGTTATTTTTCAGCAGTCAACAGTTGAATATCCACTGCTCCACCGTGTTGGATTTCTTGATTTAAGCACCTCCTGGAGCTGTTACATGTCTTTGCAAACTGTTTATGTAATTCTAATAATGACAATGGCAGACTCCAGGCTCCAGTTTAAAGTGCAAATATACAATTTAGTTCCTTAACTTTTGCTAATCTCCAGTAGGCTTTTAGGTGGAATCTTTATTGTGCTTTCTAGATCTTTTGTCTTTTCTGATTTTAGTTAGATTAAGCACTTCATATTCACATTTGGCTTAGGGAAATAAAACTTATGTGATTCTTTTGAATAGCAGCATCAAACTTGGAGATGAGAGGGCTGGTAAATTTCATCCTGAAAACAACTGGGGGTGAAATCTTGGCTGTGTTTAAATCTGGCAATGTTCCAGAAATTTCATGTGAAGCTATTCACCTCTACTAAATACTTCAGATCCTAAGGGCTCTGTAAGTTGTTGCATAAACATTATGTAGTTAAACAATGAAAAAAACCACTCCCAGTTGCCTTTAGAATAGGGAAAATCTTCACCTAAGGTAAAATCCTTGCTGCCAGGTTTCTAAGGGAGAAGTTGACAGAGGTAATCCAGCAGTGATGGAATATTCTGGGATTAATTAGACGTGGCCTAGATACACATGAGGAAGTATCAGAGCTGACCTAAATGTTGGGAGGAAGAGTGCCTCTATCTCCTACTTTCTTCTAATCAGCCCTGACACCAAAGACTTGGCAGGGCAAGTTTGGAGAGACTGGATATAAACCTGAAAGAGAGGCAAATTGTTACACTCATTTTCAGTCATATTATAAATCTGCTTATTTAAATCTAAAATGTTTTGAAGACATGTTCACTTCCTGTATCCTGGAGGTTAGTAAGAAGTCTTCCAGGTTTTTCAAGCAGTTAGACAACAATCTACAAAAGTCCTGCTGTAAATCACCATGCTTTAATTGAATTTGAAGTTTTCCTATCATTGCTGCTTTGTCCCAAAGCACCATTTGCAGGGAAAAAGAAAAAACAATTAATTACATAGACAATGTGTTCATTTTGGGATATATACAAAAGTCAGAGTTGTTGATAGTAAATCAGGAATTAAATAAACTTCACTTTGGGCTAAGGTTTACAGGAGCAGCTTTCATTACTCAAAGGATCAGTGAATAAGGGAATAATAATATAAGAATAAGTGAATAAGAATCAGGGAATAAGAGTAAATCATTGATTCTTCAGTTTAATTTGAAGCAATGTTAATTGGATTAGTCTTCTGCTCTGTAAATATGCTTTTCAAATTGAAACAAGTGACTTTTTTTTAGGGACAAAACTGTACATCAACCTTTTCCCACTCATTCTGTAAACTCTATCTAAACCTAAAGGATATCCCTGATTTAATCACACTACTCAGAACAAAGATCTAGTTAAGCCAGAGTAAAAACAGAAGTACAGTCTAGAGATCTGCTTCTTGCTAATTGCACACATGTGGGAATTTAGAAAAGTTTTTAATTCAATTACTCAGCCAACTAGTTTTTAAATCATTGCAGTTTGTCATGGATTCACCCCAGCCAGCAGCCAAGCCCCGCACAGCTGCTCACTCACTTCCCCACCAGCGGCATCAGGGAGAGAATCAGAACAGTAAAACCCAGAGAACTCATGGACAAAATAATAAAAAGATAACAATTTGAGGGGGAAAGCAAAAGCCAAGCACACCAAGCACAGACTGCTTCTCATGGGCAGGCAGGTGTTCAGCCATCTCCAGGAGAGCAGGGCCCCATCAGATGCAACAGTGACTTGGGAAGATGAACAACATCACTCCAAATGCATCCTCCCTTTCTCCCTCTTCCCCACTTTACATACTGAGCATGATGGCACATGGTCTGGGGGTCACTTTGGGTCACCTGTCCTGGCTGTGTCTCCTCCCAGCCTGGCAGAACAGAAACCAGAAAAGGCCTTGGCTCTGTGCAAGCCCTGCTCAGCAATAACAAAAACATCCCCACATTATCAACCCTGTGCTCAGCACAAATCCAAAACACAGCCCCATGCCAGCCACTGTGACGAAAATTAACTCTACCCCAGCCAAAACCAGCACACTGTTATATATCAGAAAAAGAGGGTTGAGAGATCTGGAAACCTGCAGTATTTGAAGATGGATGAGATCCTGCCATTATCACACTTACTTGTCATGGGTGACTGTAAAGCAGTGGAGTTTGGCTTGCCAAGATGATGACTTTATTACAATACTTCACTTTCATTTCAATATCTTTTTAACATGTCTAATAATTTTTTCCCTTTAATTGGTTGGGTTTGGGTTTTTTTTGGTGAGCTGGGTTTTTTCAGGATTTTTGGGGGGGATTTTGTTTTGTTGGGTTTTTTTTGGGGGGTGGGGTTTTTTTTTGGTTTTTAGGGGGTTTGTTTCTTTTTTTGTTTTTGTTTGTTTTCTTGTTTGTTTGGGGTTTTTTTGGGTTGTTGTTGTTGAGCTCTCAGTTTGGGAAAAGGATGGAAAACATACTAAAAATCAATTTAAAATAATTAACTATATTAACACTGGAGCTAAAGCAATAAAAGCTAGAAATCATTTAATTTGTTCCAAGTAAGAATATCTGTCTGTAGCTTTGGACATGAGAAAAGGGGAACTACCAGAGAATTCTGAATCTACATGGTGCACTAAAGGCCCTATGAAATCTATTTCATTATGATTATATTTAGTAGAAGACTTGAATGTGTGCAGTGTTATGATACAACAGCTGCTATTGCCTGCAATTCCCACAAAACATGCCTTTTATAAAGGAATCATCTCATTGAATTACTAATCGATACAACTTGGTGTCAGACAATACATAATAGAAATAATCTACTGTTGGAGAATTTCTCTCCAAATGGCAGTTTCCTAAGAAAAGAGGCTGCTCAGCATTGTGGTGTTTGTTTCCAACTACCAATAACATTGAACTTATGGTTTTTGAAATCTGCAAAGAATTTAGAAAGTTTGGAGCTGCCTAGAAATGCTTTTCTGATTCACTGCTGCTAAGAACCTTAACTTCCAGTTACCAGTTTGTGATATATGCCACATACTTTATATGGCTAACAGCAGTAGTCTTGCTATCATTCTCTGTTGCAGACAGCATTCCCATTCCCCAGGACCCCAGTGTGAAAATCAGTCTGGCAGAACGCTGCAATGTTATTCAGTGTATAAATCTATCTATTGGGCTGGTCTTTTCCAGTAATTATTCATGGACCTTTTATGCATTTATGTAAAATGAGTCAGGCCACTTTTTCTGAAATGGTGACTAAGCTAAGGAACAAAAACATATCCTGGTTTTAGCATCTAGTCAGTGTTGTACATCCACACTTTTCCATGTAACCAATTTTAAGTGTCTTTTTTTATTTGTCTGTGAAATTTCCTAAGGCTTTATCTTGTGCAGATTTGACACGTTGGCTTTATTTAACTTTTCTAATGCTTTACAAATGCTTCATATCTGCAGCAGTTAGGTTTTGTTTAATTTTGAACATGGCAGAATACATCCTGAGAAGAATTGTGTCAGACTTACTGAACATTTATAGCTGATAAATGATACTGAATTTATAATACTCAAGTTGCTGTTTATTTGCTAAACTGTCAACAGTTTATCACTAAATAACAAAATTCCTAAGAAGTACAGAAATCTAATTAATTTACAGTTGTAAAATTTTCAATTTTTTTCTCTCAAAGGCATTGTGGTTCTTGTTCAGACTGACAATTTCATCAAATTAACTCCACTAATTTACAATACTTGAAAACTCTTTTAGAAAATAACTCAGCATCTGAAATTGTGGGTGTTTACAGCATTCACTTTTTCAGCATAACAGAAATTGCAGCAACCTATTTCAATTTTCTCTGCCCTAGATTCAGGAAATGATGCAAGTTAATTTCTGTTTGAAATGCTCAGAAATATGGCACCTTGGAAAAGGAAATTTTCCAGATCTGAGACTGGTCTATGTATATGACTACTCATACTTTTGTCTGACTCAAAATACAGGTGAGAGTTTCTTTGAAAAGTGATTAAAAACATATATTTTACTTTTTAAATGGCAAAACCATGCTCAGAATCATTCCAATTCTTCTCATACTTAAATGAAACGCCCACGTAACAGACCATCCCATCCACTATTTTAATGAGTTCTAAATCTGTCAAGAATTGTCAACATTCATCAGTGTGGATATTTTGAGGACTTGTAGGTGCAAAAGAAGTTAATTTTTTTTAGACAAAAGCAGTATTAATAATACAACATAATTTGTAAACATTGACTGGTACTCATTATCAGAAAGGGTAGCTGGAAAAAAAAATCATTTTATATTTCAATCTTCCGGACACTGGTAGAATCCAGACCAGTGCAAAATAATGAGCTTGCTTACTGTTGCTGTGTGGGAAAAGAGAAGAGGAGCTAGAGGTGAGACTGCAGGAATAAAACAGACTAAGTAGGCATGACAGGAGTATGGGGGCTAAGTGTAATGACAGGAACTTCATAACACATTCTTCATAAAAGTGACAGGAAAAGCAAAGGAGGCGAACAGCACTCTGCCAAAAGCATCTATTCAAATGCTGAAATAAAGAGGGATAATTTTTGGTAGGACATGCATGGCTAAACTGCTGGCTTAAAAAAAAGAAGGATAATTGAGAATTACAGGAAGAATGGTACTAAAGACTGGAGATCATGAACACAAAACAGTGAAGATTTAGCAATCATAGTCTAAGTTGCAAAAGCATATATTAAGTACTCCCTAGAGGCACTTATTTGATTAAAGTACTTTTAAAACAATCTCAGAAATTAAGAAGAATTTAAAATCCTGTACTTTAGTTCCTTTTTGTCAGCTCTGAGGTTAAATATTCATGCGTTGTAAATATTTAGGGCATAACTTAATATTCATCATAATGTATGCCAAACTGTGCCCTTTGGATTATTCCTAGCAGTGACCACCTCCTTAATCCAAAATCTCTCTTCAAATCCTTAAATGCTGGGAATGCTGTCAGAAGGGAGTATGAGTTTAACTTAAAGTGAGGGAGATCTGGTCAGGCATCTTCAGCCACACGTTGAGTTCCCACCTTCACAGATGAAAACTGGAGAAGGTGTGTCTTGGGTTCCACCAGGACACCCCAGCACTCTGATATGCAGTACTAGTAAATCTGCTGGTAGGGCTAAGACACTGCAGGAGCTTTTCTTAAGTGTCAATGGCTTCACCTCAGATCCAAAGCAACAGTGCAGAAAACAGCAAAGGCTTTATTCAGAGATGACCATCTAAATGGAAGGTCAGGATGGGAAAAGAGATCATATGGAGCTGGAAAGTTGGATTGGTGCTGCTTGTGTTGAGTGTGTTCCGTTTAGGAAGGCAACTTTCTGCCAGCTGGCACTTTCCAACACTTCCTTTAATCAAAGCATGACCAAGTTTGCCGTTACATGAAGCCCCGAGTGTATCATGTAGAGAAATACTACACTTAATGAAGTGCTGGTAGTTATATCTGGAAACATCCAAGGGAAATGTAACTGTCTGAGGTCTCGAATCCATTTGTCATGGTTTAACCCCAGCTGACAACTAAGCACCACACCACCTCTCACACATTCACCCCCGGCAGGATGTAGGCGAGAACTGGAAGGGTAAAAGTGGGAATACTTTTGGGTTGAGATAAAGACATTTAAATAAGTAAAGGAATAGCCATGCACACAAGCAAAGCAAAAAAAGGAATTCGTTCACCCCTTCCAATGGGTAGGCAGGTGTTCAGCCATCTCCAGGAAAGCGGGGCTCCATCACACCTGATGGTGACTAGGGAAGGCAAAACACATCACTCCAAATGTCCCTCTCCCTTCCTCCTTCTTTCCCCAGCTTTCTATCCTGAGCATGACGCCATATGGTCTGGAATATCCCTTTGATCAGTGGCAGGCAGCCCTGTCCTCTCCCAGTTCCTTGCATACCCTCAGCCTCCTGTCTGGAGGGATAGGGTAAGAAGCACAAAAGGCCTTGATTCTGGGCAAACCCTGTGCAACAACAACCAAAACATCCTGGTATTTCCAGCCCCAAACCAAAATGTAGCCCCATACCAGCTACTATGAAGATAAACTCTACTCCAGCCAAAACCAGCACACCATTGCTAATTTCAAATATTTAATTTCAAACCTATTTACATGACAAAAAAAAAAAAACCCTGTTGTGTTTTGTGCTCTCTGCACTAAGTAGAAATAAAATTTGGTCTCTGAACTGCAGATTTTACAAGGATTGTCTATGTGTTGACAGAAGAAAACCCTCAAATGAGCAAAATGTGAGGTTTTATGTACAGTGAAGCCTTTACAGCAGCTTATGGAGCTTTGTAAAACATGACTTTCACCTTGAGAGGTACAAAAGTCTGTAGGAATTTCCTTTCAGACTTTGCATTCTGAACAAGCGAAGTGGTATTTGTGGTGAGATACTCAGGACAAGAGTTAAGGGGTAGATCCACATCCAGACACTTGTCCCATGCAAGCAACTCCATGAGGTTTTGACATTGGTTAGTGACCCTGCTCCAGACACCATCCCCCAAATCCCCATCTACACGGCAAATGCATGGCTTAGGGGATTGGTAATCGGATACCTCACCTCCAGGTCACCATAGGTCTCTGGTTCAAGAGCAGCAAGGCTTTGTAATGACTTAAATGCCATTGCATATTTATTTGGAGTCATACATGGAGAAGTGAACATATGATTTCTGTGTGACAAGCAGTAGATGTCCACATACAGATACAAACATTGTGACAGCCTGTTTGAAATATTTGAATGACTCAACATCAATCTAACAGAAACTGATTAATTCCCTAATAACAGAATTGTGGTTTGTTTTAATACTGCCTGTATAGTAAAAGCATCATGGTTTATATATACTTATATATTATGTATTTATTTTACTTTTATATATACTTATATTTTTATATATAAATTTATATTTACTTACATTTTGTAACTGAGTGAAACTAAAGCCTGTGTTTAACCCTGCTTCTTTTTCTCTTCAGGTTGTAAAAGACTTTGAAAAGTGGTTTTGAATAGAGAATTTTGAATAGAATTGGAGGCAATCCAATGCCAAATTTAATTTTAATTTTTTGTCTTAGCTGATACAAATTCAACAAGAGAGAAAATATGTTCTGTAGGTCTTCTTAGGCACTTTACTAGATAGGAGGAACTGTAAGTGCAGAATTTGAAACTTCAGCACATCCTTAATGAGAATACAACTGAAATAAAGCTACTTCAGTAGCTTTAAAGGTCAGTATTAACCTAATACTTCTGAAGTCAGACGGCATGACCTGTGCGTGAGAAGAAAAAAGGTAGATGATGCTCGCTGTTGAGGAATGAGGGCTGGCAGGTATAATGGTCAAACAGAAACATGACACCTTCTCCAATCTGTTGTCATTGGTGGTTCCCGCAGAGAGAGGGGCTGGCTGGCATGAACACTCTGTCCACTGGCCCGTACTGCCTCCCAGTGGGCATCAGCTACTTCTCTTTCGGGATAAAACACAGGGGGCTTTACAATTCCTGGCACAGAAACCATTGTCCTAGGATAGCTAATGGGAAGTTCACTGACAGCGAGACTTCGGGTATCTCAAACCAAAACAACAAAGCTCTTGATCATCTTCCAAAGATGTAGCTTTCTATGAAATCACAGATGCATGGTTTACCTTTTTCTATGGCTTCATGCAGAACCTGTACCTCCATATAAAAAAAAAAAAAATCCTCAAACCCAAATCCAGTTTTGGCAGGCAGCCTTACAAATGTGAGCTCTCATCATATCAACTTGCACGCAGAGGGCTGTCCCCACCGCTCTCAGCTCTGAGGAGCAGCAGCAGAGCAGTATCACCAGCAGCAGTATCATCCCATGGCTGTACCCTCCATGCAGTGCTATAAGTAATATTTTTTTCTCACTTTTCATGAGTGTGCTGAGAGCAACAGCATAGGACATTAAAAAGGGATGCCAAAAATGAAGAATGAAACAACCTGAGGAAAGAGCACTGTTTACTGCAATAAAGTCTCCCTAAGGAATGAAGGAAGAGCTGGGGAGATGCTTCTATTCTTCTCTGACAGCCTACTGACCTTTACAGTTTACAGCCCAAACTTGCCTTTTCCTTCTGAGCTCAGCAAGGCAGGGGATCTGTTCAGAGCTGGGCACCTCAGCTCTGTGTGTTTCCCATCAAAAAAACCCCTAACTGTCCCTCCCAGCCCTGTGCAGGTGTTGTTATCTACCTGAAGACAGTCACCTAAATCTTTGTGTTGAGGTGTTGGTGTGGTTGCTGCAACTGCAGACAGGGAGGGGGCTTTGGGGAAAGCAGTTCTGTGCTCCTGTGGAAGTCACAGGGCTGTGCAAACACTTGTAAGGATTAGAGCTGTTGCTCATGCCTTAAACACTGCATTTGTTTACATCTCATACCTTGATCTTACAGAATGGGGAAGAAAAAGAAAAAAAAAAGACATCACACAGTGCTATAGCACAAGTCATATGAATAAACAAAGACTTCTGTGTCTAGGTGTGTCCAACTACAAAGGTCACTCAGGTGTAGGCGTTTTTTTCCTCCAAAGTTATCCTGTTCAAGGTGTAATATCCTGTTTCATTTCTTCAGTCCTTATCATTGAACGTTAATGTTAAAATCCGTGGATCTGATACCTTCCCAGCGCACGTAAGAAATAGAACAGAAAAACATCGGAGCAAGGGTACAGTACCGAATACACAGAAAAGGCAAAAGTAGTATTACATTGGAAATACTGTTTTTGCATCGCTCTGGTTTTTGGAGAGCTTACATTATCAGGTTTGCTGTGTGTGTGTGTGTGCGTGCACGTGTGCCATTCTTTCAAAGGAGGAAATAGGATGCCTTTTAGTGCAGAAAATTAGTAACAAAGTAGCACACAAGCTGTGGGGCTGATAGCATCTCTGTAATCTTGTACTTAATCGGCTATCCCCAAGAAAAATCTGTTGACTTTCCAGTTCTACTCTGCCCAGGCTGCACACAACAATTAACGGGCCTGCGTTAACCTACGCCCGTATGACAACCCCTGAAGTCAAAGGTTTGCACCTTACAAGTCGGTGCCCGAGCAGCGCTGCCCACCCAACAGGGAAATCCCAAGCCCCAGTGGAGCTGTCCTAGCGCTCCCCGTTTTCCCGGAGGGCTGCTGGCGGCGCTCCGGGCGGGAGCAGGTGCACGGAGCGCACGCCCGGGGCGGGGGCAGGAGCGAGCGGCGGCCCGGGGC